GCCGGGCCTGTTTGTTTTGAATTTCGAACAAAGCTACACGAGGACTTTCTGCGATAGCCGTCCCTAATTTAGTAGTGATAAACTAGAGGGAAGGCAGCTAGTCAACACTACCCACCGCAAACTCTTGGGCTACTATTTTACTTAAAATAGTAGGATTGACTGCCAGCATGTTCGGTGACAGGGATTCGAACCCGTGACCCTCAGATTGTGAGTGGAGCATCTTAACCCCCAGGCCCTTCCACGGCTGAGATACAGTATTTTTCTAGATTGTCCTGGTACCCCAAATTAAACCATATTTATTTGTATTCTGACATGGAAGGATATCCTCATCTTAACAATTTTAAATCTTCAATCTCAACACATCTTTATAATCTGAGGATATAAATATTTTGAATCAGAAACAACTGTTAAATACCAAAAGTGATCAATTTTCGGTGGCATCACATTACCTACGAATGCCCAAAAATATCAACATGTAGCTATGATACATTCTGTTCCATCGCGATTTTATATGGCTGTGATTGTTACGTGACTTCTGAGTTGCATATTCAAAATAGTGTTAATATAACTTATTTAACACTTTGTATAGGCCTGGCATGGCCAGGTGGTTAGGGCGCTCGACTCGCAATCTGCGGGTTCGAATCCCCGTCACACCAAACATGCTCACCCTTTCAGCCGTGTGGGCATTATAATGTGACGGTCAAAGACGTTGGAAAAAGAGTAGCCCAAGAGTTGGCGGTGGGTGGTGATGACTAGCTGCCTTCCCTCTAGTCTTACACTGCTAAATTAGGGACGGCTAGCGCAGATAGCCCTCGCGTTGCTTTGCGCGAAATTCATAACAAACCAAATCAAACCTACCCTTACCTGGTTATGAACAGCGTAATAATAAATTTACTTATATTCTGTTAAGGAATAAGAACATAAATGAGCTTACTGATATCTTAGTGAAGACATAGAGTAACAGTGCTAATGTTGACAAATAAATTCTTATACGTTGTCCTCCGAATCTTTTCCTGAGATATTCTGGCATAGTGTACACCTTAAAGTAGAAGCAAACATTCAGTAGTTAATGAAAATATCAGGTTTGAAAAACAATAGTGGTATATTCAAGATTATCGATGGTAACACCCAATTAATAACAATTCTTAGTATAATTATAACTATAAGTAAAGTTTATACGCAATATAAATTTGTTTACTTAATTCGTTCAAAACAGAATTGGTTCCTACAGTTAACTGACGTATAATTAATATTAGCAGGTTTTATGGGTTCTTAGATTTAACTGATTTATAATTAGGCTTAGCAGGGTTTTATGGGCTTTCAGGGTTAACTTATCTATAATTATGCTTAACAGGTTTATATGGGTTCTCAGAGTTAAATAATTTATAATTAGGCTTAGCAGGTTTTAAAGATTCCTAGAGTTAACTGACTTATAATTAATATTAGCAGGTTTTATGGGCTCCTAGATTTAACTGATTTATAATTAGGCTTAGCAGGGTTTTATGTGCTTTCGGGTTAACTTATTTATAATTATGCTTAACAGGTTTATATGGGTTCTCAGAGTTAACTAGTTTATAATTAGGCTTAGCAGGTTTTAAAGATTCCTAGATTTAACTGACTTATAATTAGGCTTAACAGGTTTTACGGTAAAAAAAACTTACCCCAGCAGCAGTGTAGACGGGAACAAAGAGCCAGCCCAATATTAACATTACAAACATAGCCTAAGAGAGAGAGAGAGAGAAAAAAATAATTAGAATAACCAACTAGCAGTACTGTTTAGCACAATTTTTATTGTTTTTATTTATTAATTAAGTTTATTTACTTTCTTTATTATATTAGTGACATCTAAATAAATTAAGCAAGATATATATGTATGGAGTTTGAGTTGTTTTTACTCAGCCCAGGGAACTTACAGGCTCCTAATTTTTCTTCTGAATTATTCATCAGGCAATGTAATTTTTTTATCATTACCAAAATCATGAATTTCGATAAGAAAAAAAACATGAAACACACGTTGACTTTGTTATTCAATACAATAAGTACAATGAGTTAAAGTCGATTTGGGAAAACCCCTCATGAATAACTCTGGATAAGGTTGTTTGGTTGAAGTTAAGCACAAAGCTACACAATGGGCTATCTGTGCTCTGCCTACTATGGGTATCGAAACCCGGATTCTAGCGCTGTAATCTGGATAAGGACAAATCGAAAAGAAGACTAAGCCAGAATTCATAATTTTGGTGATGAGAAAAAACTATATTATGTTATTTTTAAGTTAAGCACAAAGCTACACATGGGCTATCTGTGCTCTGCCAAACCATGGATATCGAAATCCGGTTTCTCGCGTTGTAAGTCCGTAGACATGCGGTCTCACTGGGAGGATTATATTAGGTAAGATAGAATGCATACTAAGGTAAATGTCCATAATGTAATTTTAAAACTTCCTCTTTATATATTATTGGATCTCTTATATTTCTTTGTTTCTTTACGCACAAAGATGCACAGTGGGTTATCTGCAGAGAAGGAACCTCTAATTTTAGCGTTATAAGCTTACGCTGAGCCACCGAGAGGCGGATCTCTTTGAACAAAGGTTTTTTATTACTTTGACAAGATTTAAATGACATAGGACATTATAACATTATTATTAGTAAGAAAATAATTATCATCAAACTGCATTAACTTGTTAAATAGTGAAAGTAAAGTTGAAATAACTTCAATACTTTTTAATTTTTCTATGTAATTT